TCAAATTGAGCCCCTCAGGGCTTACTTACCCTTGAGTTGCCATCATAGGCGGATCTACTGGGGTGGCATAGGGTGGCAACTGCCACCCTAAATGACAGCCTTGCCACCCCTGCTGCCACCCCTGTTGGCGGTAGGGGTGGCGAGGCTTATAAATTATGGATTATTTGAGAATTACGACCGCTAATTTCTAATGTCAGACTGCAGTGAATGCAGCACGAGATGACGCGAGAGCGACTGAGACTGATTGTTTTGAAAACCGAATGGGGCAAAGCGAGGGAGCCTGCGGTGATGGGGAGAGGAGAAACGGGATGAAACAGGTAAAAACTGATTAACTATCTATGGAGAAATGAAATCATAATGAAAGCACAATGTGTCTAGCATAGCTGCAATGTTGATTTTGAGATGATAAAAGTCAGGTTGCAGAACGTTATTTCTCTATCTATGATGTTAGTTAGGCCTGACGTCTCAGGCTCATAAAGACATATTTGCGGTCAACTATGACAGAAAAGAGACTATCAAGTTTGGTTGTACTCAAATCAAAACGCACAAAGGCATTGGATCTAAATAAAGTTGTGAAGCGTTTTGCTGAGCAACATGGAAATCGCCGCATTCAGCTGTTATAGTCATGTTAACTTTATGTTATGCTCTCTGGTGAGCCTTTACAGAGCTGTTACATTTTGTTTTGGCACCTGAGAAAATCTGATATTTCCTTTAATGAAACCAAAAGTGTTCTGCTTAATATGACGCAGTGTTGTTGTTTCTTTATGAAACTATCCAGAAACGACCTGTATGAACCTACTCACAAGCAAAATGTATTTTTATGTTGCTTCTTTTCAGATTTGTGGAGATCTTGATGTAACATACAGAACCCGCCTTTTTGTTGATTTGTTGATACAGCAGTATGGAGGACCAACTCTGCCATATTTAAAAATAAATACAGAAATAAATAAATGCTTAATAAATAAATAAGCATACAATTAATTGCCACCAAAAATACGAACAACAAATAAATGTAAGTAGAAATTAAATTATACAGCTAGTCATAAAGGTATATAACTCTTTTTATTGGCTTCTTTATTTCTTTGCCTTTTTAATATTTACCTTATTTATTTTTTTGTCATTTATTATCTTCAACTTCATTTTTTAATTACTTATATTTTTAAGTATTTATTTATGTGCATGTTATCATATTTTTGTCTGTTTTATTCTTCCTTTGTATTTTTTTACCCTAGTTATTTCTTCGCCGCTATTTCTTTCTGCCTGCCCTTTTTCCATTTCTGCCTGCCATTATAATATAATTTCTAATTACATTTATTTGTTGATTGTACTTTTGGTGGCAATTAATTGTATGCTTATTTATTTATTGAGCATTTATTTATTTATTTCTGTATTTATTTTTAAATATGGCAGAGTTGGTCCTCCATATACAGCTCTATCTACAGCATATTTACATGCATGAAATGTCCCTTTCATGTTGCCGTAACTGCTGTATGTCAAGTTACTGAGGAACAAATGGGGTGAATGTGTGTTCAGAGTAAACATTACATCGATGTCCAGTACCTTGTTCGGGTGCCTTGACCCATTTATTTCTACTGTGTAGTTCTGCTTATTTAGTCCAGCTCAGTCCATAGATCTCTGATGGGGAACTTTTTCTTTCTATAGTTTCTTCTTGTGCAAATGCTGCAAAGCTGCCTCTCTGACAGTCAATCTCACACATCTGCGACTCAGCACCTGTGTCTTACCTTAATACCTTTCCTATCATAAGGCCCCTCTAGAAGTAGTGTTATCATTCTTCTATATCCTATTAAGTGAGATCACATTGTACGATGTATTATTAATATGAACTGTTTCACATGAAACACTAGTACTGTACATACTATTCTCACCAAACTGTGATAACTGTGATTAAATTCAGTGTAAACAAATGCCATATGTTGCCACCCCTAAAAAAATTCCTGCCCCCCTCTTGCCACCCCATAAATATTTTTCTAGATCCGCCCCTGGTTGCCATAAATAGATCCACAACTAGCTGAGGGGTCTCCCTCCTTCCTTCCCTGACTGGGAGACTAAATACTGATAAAATGAGTGTTCTGCCAACATTTTTTATCTTTTTCTATGTATGCCTATATTTTTGCCAAAAGGTTTTTTCAGCAGTAGATTCATTTTTTTTTTTTTTTTTTTTTTTTTTATGGAATGGTAGCGTGCCTAGAATAAGACAAAAAAATACTTTAAAATGTCAAGTTCAATAGCGGTCTGCCTCTCTCTGCCTGTTCTATTCCTTGGCTGTGGACATAACTAGAATGATCTGAGTCAACCAATGCACCCTGATATCAGCTGGATGAAAAGGCATGCAACCCAGTCTCTCTTTTTGTTTTATTTATCCCTCCCCGATGGTGGCCAGTCCCTCTGGCCTTACCTGCAACCCAGCGGCTTATGCCACGCTAAGGATACGGTTTACACTTTAAGCCATAAACACCTAATCTGAATTTGCGGCCGATCCGACAGAAAATCATGACATTATGAGGTTGTGGCTTTTAGCTCTCATTGAGAGTCAATGATAGAATTTTCTGCAGGGGGCTTCATAGCTCCTACTGAGATAGACGCCAAGTCTATTTTAGTCAGACTACACAACAATTTAGCGGGAATTTCATGGGTCTGACAGGAAGAAAGACATAGTTACAAAGCAAAACACATCCGCTTTGGGAGAAAATACAAAATAAAAGCTGTTAATCGTAGAGTCAGTTTTGGAGTCACACATCACATATATAGCAAGCTGGACAAACTCATGCAAAAACAATCAATGAAACATTAAGAATATATATATTTTATAGGGATGCACGATATTGGGATTTTAGCCGATATCCGATATGCCGATATTTTAAAACTCATGTAGCCGATAACGATACCGATGTTAAAGCTGGACAAAAATAAGTAGTCATTGAAAATAGCAGTTTTGTTATCCATTTCTGACACTTTGAAAAATAATATACTCAAATATATTTTCATATGCTGATATCAAATTGATTTTTAAAAACGCGGTATCGATCTATTTTACTTTCAAAATCTCGTGAAATTTCATCGTTCTGTTACAAACTCTCGTGATATTTAGCAAATTCTTGTGAGATTTTGTTAGTAAAATAGATCGATACCGCGTCAATATATCAACATATAAAAATATGGCAACATTTCGTGAATTTTCGGGGGATTTCGTTGCATAACGATGACATATAGCAATATTTCAGAGAATATTTTAAGAGATTGATATGGTGTTTTTAAATGGCAATATATCAGCATATGAAGATATTGTGATATTTTAATGTATCAATATTTTTTCCCTCGTCTTTAGAGCTTTTTAAGCCTGTAAAAAAGTTTTTGAGGAAGAAGAAGAAGTATTATTTTATTTTATTTTTTTTTTTTTTTAGACTAGAAACTCAAAAGCTGATCAAATATCTGGTTAAATATCGGTGGGGTGGCCGATGTCCGATATTCAGTTTTAAGGACGATACAGGCCCATACCGATAGGGGGCCGTTAAATCGTGCATCCCTAATATTTTACCCTTAGTATTAGTTCAGAATGAAAGAAAACAGATAAAGTAGTGATCCTCTTTGATCCTTGTGAAAAACAAAATAACGAGGGGTAGACACTGCAGGTAAGGGAAGCTCGCAACTCTCCCCTCAGTGAGCATATAAACCAGAGGTCATGGATTAGCGAACCGCGGTCCGGATCTGGACCCACCTGCTGACTAATCCGGACCCAAGCTGATTTAAAACATTTATAAATTACTCCCTGTTGTCCGCTTCTCCTGTTAATATGGTAAAGCCCTCTAGAGCTTCCGGGACCAGGCTACATGTGATATAAATTAGCCAATGAGCTGCTGTCAGTCTGGGTTGCTGCTGCTGCTACTTTTAGACACAGCAGGCAAACCTGTGGCAAGCCGGGCGATGGGGAAGGAGAAGACGATGAGAAAAAGAGAGCAGAGAAAGTGTGGACTGCTGGAAGAACTGTGGTGAACTGGTGAAAGAAAAGTGAAATGGTGCTCAAAGATGACCCTGCACATTTAGAGGATGTTTGGCTCAACCTGCTGCTGTGAAGCAGGATTCTCCACCATGAACAGAATCAACAATAAATATGGATCCTTGATATGTGCTTTAGAACGGCTTAGTCTCCATTCAAACCCAGGTTTAAAGCCTTGCAGGGCAGCATAAAGCCCACTGCCAACATTAAGACAGAAAAAAGAAAGAAAAAACGTTCAGTTCAGGTGTTTTATAAAATATGTACATCAGGAAACTGTCTATAAACCAGACTTAAAGATTGTTGTTCTCTACTTCAAAAAAAACACTATAGATTATAAAATGGAAAAAAAAAAATTTTGTTTTTTTATTTAACATTTCAATGTATAACATGGATGCATAAAACCCTCATTTAATTTCAGTGTTAAATAATGTTTAAAGTAACAGATAATAATAAAAAATGTCTCAGTACTTTTACTGGTTGTTGATTTTCTTTATTCGGACCTCGCTGATTTTTAATTGGTTACTCCTGCTATAAACCCTCCCACATTCTTTATTGCTGTGTTTTCTTTTTTTTTTAAACGTAGTTCTCACTCTTACGTAGATCTTCCTGTTGACCACCGTGCCACTGTTCAGCCCCCAGTGAACTAACCGTAAAAACTGACTCTACTCCCTCTAATCCCACTGGGGATTAGAGGATTAAATATTAACCTGCAAAAAATAAGCCCTGAAACGTACATATAAAGTCCAACTATTAGAAATCCAACATTTATTCAGTGAGCAGAAGCCTAAAGAAATTGGTCAAAACTGCTGCTTTTGTTTATAGCACCGAATTTAATGTGAAACAGGCTTTTCTTATGAAATCCTCAGACTTTGACAGCAGCTGCAGCAGAACTTTTAGTCAAGTTTATCCATCTTGCTTTCACAGCAGCAGGGTTTCTTCCCCAGAACCTTAACCTCCATAAACGGTGCCTCTGCTCTGCCTTCAGGGGAACTGACGCCACACCTGGGACGTCCTCTGGTGAGCGTCTTCCTGCAGGGAACCCGGGATCCGGACCAGAGTGTCCGAGCCAGCAGCCTGTCCAATCTGGGGGAGCTCTGCCAGAGACTGGACTACTCACTGGGACCGCTGGCACAAGAGGTGAGAGCACCAGTTAAACCAGAATATGTTGTCAGAGCAATGATTTAAAATATTAGACAGATGATTGTTGTTCATGCCAAATGTCGGCGATTAATTCATTAATTTTTTCTCAGAGAGAAATTAAAACTTAAGCAGGAAATAGAAAAAAAAGAGAATAGAAGAGCTTTAAATGGTTCCACATGATGAAGAGGGGCAAAGAGGGGCTAGTCTTTGGAAAAGGCTGATTTTTCAGGGTGGTAGCAGGTGTGGGGCGCAGCAGCAAAAAGAAACAAACAGTAAGAGAATAAACAACAGCTAAGATCTCATGTTACCTTCTCCCAATATGAAAATGATAAAAATCCTAAAATAATCCAGATTAATTGTTTCCAACAGCGCCGCTGAGCCCGACTAAAGAACTTTGAACTGCTATAGTTGCTTTACTCTTTTTTTGCAACATTTAGAGAAGAACATGGAGCAGAAGAAGAAGAAAAATGAAAGACATTTTGACGATTGTTTCCAAATGAAGTCGCTTTTAACCACAGGAAGTACGTTATTTTTCCATCTTATACCATTCCAATGCGTCACTTCTAAACCAGTTTCCGTGTTCCGTTTTCTGGCAGTCAGCATCGTTTTAAACACATAGGTCTTCCGTTCGAATAACTCCCTCATGTTGGGGGGTTTTTAAATGTTTACTGTAGTGTTTAAAGTTATAGAATATCTTCCCACATTTTACCAACCAAATTCTCTCATCTGCCCTGTGCTTTTTGCTATGTTGCTAGAGACACACAGAAAGCCAACCCTGAATCAGTCATTTTGTTTCTCCTTTTGGTTTAATATACAAAGCATTGTTTATCATTTAACAATGATTTATATTAGTTAAATATCACTTTGGCAGCTAGTTGTCTGCATGCTTTTGTTATGCCCCATTCACTCTGCAAGCAGCAGCAAACGCGTGTGCTGCTTCATATTTGATGCTTGTACAAGTTTAGTTCAGATGCACGGCTGAAGCATCTTTGCTGCTCTGGCAGAGCGGTCGAGAAGTGTAACAATTGCAGCTATATTTGCTGTGATCAGAGAGTAAAAAGTAGTTTTAATGTTTTTATGTTAATGTTTTTAACCCCCGGCAACCCGGTGGGTTTTAAGTGAGGGTAATAACTAGGGGTGTAAATCACATCCATCATGTCAATTCGATTCAGTATCGATTTCCTGACCCAACGATTCGATTATTTTCGATACTCAAGAATACACCACGATTCGATTCGATTAATCGGTTAAATTTTTTTTTTTATTATTATTATTTTTTTTACACCTTACAGGCTAAACAAAGTTTCAAGTTTGAAATACATCAATGAAAGCTGTAATATCATTATGCATTTTTTTTTTGAAACAACAGCAAATAACAGAAGAAGAAAAGTTGCATCAAAAAATACTGCAGAAAATCAGTGCAATGAGTGCAATTCAATACCTCAGCTCCAGAGTGTCGACGTCCCGCCCCCTTGAGAGACGCTCCGCTGCTCCTCTCCCAGATTGTAGCTGACCGTAGACAGTGCTGCAGACAGGAGGCCGGCTTGTTTTGTTTTTATGACCGAAATTGCGGAAAACAACTCGTGAAGTTTGACCCGCTAGAAGAGCGAGGTGCGCGAGAACGCTGGGACCCTTTTTCCACCTGGATCTCCGCTCTTTATGGCCCTCATGTCCCGCCGTCGTCGGACTAAACTCGCCCCCACTTCCTCTCCGCCTCGGCCGTATGTAGACCCACAGTGTGTAGCTCAGACCACGCTTCAATACTGAGCATAATTTAAAAATGTCTGTGTGAAGCTTGCTGCAACAAACTGCTGTAAGAGTATAACCAGGAAGCGAGGTAGGAGGGCAAAATAGGTTTAGCGCCACCGCAGCACAGGAGGGAGAATTACGCCCAGGAGCAAATGGATAAAAGGAAAAAAAAAAACATGAATCGATACTCTTGCGGACGTGTCGACGCATCGGATCGTCGGCTTTTGGATCGATGCATCGATACAAAACCATTATTATTTACACCCCTAGTAATAACTCAGAATGAACAAAATTCCACCGGTAAAATTTTTACCAGCAGGTGGAGCCATTGTGCGCAGCTCCTAGCTACTACCAAAAGTTCCAATCCCCACAGCTCTGGAACTGTTATACCTAGAGGTCTGAAATTTTCTGCATTTGTGGCTGACATGATGTAGAACAAATATAATACAATACAACCTGGCTTTTCTTAAGAATGTCTTTATTACCACTGTTCAAAATAGACCTATCATTTCCGAGAATAAAAAAAAAAACTTTGAGTCATGTTTGAACTGATGCAGGTTGGTCTGTGTTCTACTCACCCAATTTTAATTTATATATCAGGAAACTAGAGGGTGTTGGCTTTCAGATAATGTAATTTGGGCTTACAGTTCCTAAGTTATTTGCTTTTCCATTTGGTTATGCAAAATAGTCGCGGATTACCCAAAATGAGGTTGATGTTAAGAGATTAAGTGAGAAAGTCCACCTGAAAACTTAATCTGTGCAATCAGTTCATCCAGATTACGATACTGCCTTTAAACATTATTTCGTTGGTGGAGCCCCTCAGACAGTGAAACAAACTATTCTTTATCTATTTCACACTACCGTTGATCACAAGTCAAAACCTTAACATCTGTGTACTAGAGCAAGATCCAAATGTGCAAGAGTCTAGTTACATTTTCATTGTGGAGTAAAAGACAAGGTATGGGTGCAGCACCTTCCATCGGCGGTGTATCCAGAAAACAGATTCTATGTGACTAAGAAGTCACATTTAATCGTAACAGCAGTTGCTCCATGCCTGTAGAAAGCATGATGAGCTCGAGAAAATTTTTGTCATATGCTTGAAAAACACAGAAAACGAGTCAGACAGGCACATTGTCTGGAGCACAAGTCTCATTGTTATTCTATTAGCACAATGTAAAAAGTTTTAACATGAAAGAATGCATAGCGACGGATCAAAAACAGCAGTGAAGTAGGCTACATTTATGGGTTATATTTTCAAAAATAAAACTATGAAACGGGCTTGGTTAGAGACAAGAGAGAATATAAAGAGAAAAGTCTAACTACCACAGCTGGATTCAAACCTGTATTGATACAAGAGGTTTGCATGACACACTATTTCTCTAACCACTGCGTCACTACTTAGCTGCAGGAACTGTGAACTGTTGCAAGTAATAGCTGTACAGCACAGAACATAAGTTAGCGATGCATGTCAGGGGAAAAGGTTTCACATGAAAAAAGGCATGGAAATGGATTCAAAATAACAGCAAAGTGCATGTAGGGGTTATATTCCTAAAACTAAGGCTTTGTGAAACGACAATGCAGTGAACTTTGGAAACATTGCTACACAGAGCTTTGTGCAGTTTTCCACAAAGCAGATCTGTGCTGAACTTTGTTGTTCTGGCTGCCTTGATCAGGGACTAGACTTGAGGGATTTGAAATACATTGCTTGTCGGAAAAGAAGGAAGAACAACGCCTGTTGTCTTGGTAACGACACACGTCAGGAACGCGTGTTTTGACCTGTCACTACAGGTACCATCATGACTGACGTAAAAGGCACTTGTTGGTAAAAGACGGTGAAGAAAGCAGCGAAATTTCTGAAAAACAGGCGCTTTTAGCAGGTGAACTTCAATCTTCATGTGATAATTAGATGCGAATAGAGGCACTTTTGGCCTGCCATACTGCTCAGCTGCGCTGCACCTGCTGCAGGATCAGTAGACAATGCAGGTGAGGTGTCTTGCCCCAGGACACAATGGGGCTTGAACCATCAACCCTTCAATTTCAGGGCAAACTCCTACACTGATGCCACGGTCGCTCCACTGATACTTAAGGTGTGAACGTAGCATTAGTTTTCCTACTAGTTCACTGTCTTCTTGTGTAGAAAACTTCCTAATTTCTGAGTTGTAAAAATGTGAAAATGTCAAATTCCCCTTGTTTGTGGTTGACATGAACAGTAGTTCATTTTTATTTGGATTCATAATCCGGTGAGCACCAATAAAAAACAAGCTTTCATAAAGCAACTAGATAATAATTCCTAAAATGTTGAAGAGTCAGCCCACCCTGTTTTTTTTTTCCAAGTTGGAAAAAAAGTTTTATGAATTTGACTTTCCGCTGTTTGATGCACTATCTATTGTATGATTTATGCTATAAATATTCCTTTATAACATTTAGCTGAATTCCTGAAGAGCTGGGAACCAAAAGGGGTGCCCCCCCCCCATTAGGAACTACTGAGCTAACAGCTGTGTACAGATTAGAAGTGATTCATTTCAGACGTTATAAAAAGCGTTTCAAAAACAAACTCCAGATCACCATCAACCGCCTGACGTGTTTTTTCCAGGCCGCTGCAGAGTTCTGCGGCGATGCGTTCGCTGCAGCCATGAATGGGCCTCAGTGTCAGCCAAATGAACAGGATCCTTATTCACTGACCTGTGATCTTTTTACTCTGACAGACGCTGTGTGTGCTACCAGAGCCAAGGTTGGGTTGACACACCAGTTGGTCCAGTTTGGTTCTGTTTCCGAGCTGCAGCTGATTTTTCTCATGGTTGTGATAAAAGGAGCAGAAACTGGATGCAGCCAAACTTCCAGGAAATGCACCATTAAAAGCTTCAGCTGATCACAGAAAGTCCGAATTTAGCAGATCCCCCCCCCCACATCTATAAACAAAAAGGTTAAATCCCACAGCCAAGAGATTGTTTCTATAAAATTCACAACACATCTTGAGATAATGTGTTGTGAATTAAAGCTATAGAATTAAACTGAATTGATTTGTTTTTTTTAAATCTTCTTAATATATTTTGCTAAATATTGTACCTGGTATATCTTAATGTCCAACTTAATTTATAGAATCCAGAATCTTAGATGCTCATGGCACATCTCCAGTCAGTGGAGGTTTTGGATGCCATGTCCTGGACAGGTTCTCTGGCATCCAAAACCCCAGTGGGTTTTCCGAAGTCCACATTTAACGCAGCTTTAGAAGCCTTCATTATTTCTGTTGCTGACAAGCCATAAGAAAATGGTGATTTAATATTCCAGCGGGGATTGGTACCGGCCCAAACTGCCAGAGGAACCAAAAGCTGGTCCCATTAAGTTGTTGCTGTGTTGGATTGGAAGTCAAACTGCTGTGATCAGAACTTTAGAGAAGCTATGGAGATTTTCTAAGCAGGAGATGAAAGACCAGAGCCCAGTGGCGGATCTAGACCAAATGCACCAGGGGGCCAGGAGGGGGCCAGCGTGTTTTCATGGGGGCACAGAAAAGCATGAAATAAAGAAACAGGCCAAGGGATTTAAATATATTAAGAGAGCTGCATGAAGTGAAATTTCTTTTCAATTAGGTTCAATAAAAATTCTATTTCTTATGAGGTCAATATACATTCATAATTTAGGAATTTTACATATTTATTTACTTAAGTTAAAATTACCATTTTCTATTAAATCTGAATTAGAACTCAGAAAAACTGATAAATTCAGCTATAAAAATCAGAGTACCTTTTTTTGTTTAGAAAAAAAAACATTTAGCAGATGAAAAATGGGATCCTATCTCAATACGACTGAAGCTATCACCTTACTGTTTTTAAATAATTAGTAAAAAAATTAAATAGATCCAAAGGACCTATTAGTAACCAAGTCTGTTCAAGCGCATATCATCATTAGAATTTCTTATAAGCATTATTTCTTCAGTACAGGGGCCATAACAGGGGCCAGGACATGATTTACAGGGGCACTGGCCCCCATTGGCCCCTGTCTAGAACCGCCAGTGGTGTCAAAAGTTCACACATTTGTTACTTAAGTAGAAGTATAGATACTGCAGTTTAAAAACACTCTGGTAAAAGTTGAAGCATCAACTTGACCTCTTTACTCAAGTAAAAGTGAAAAAGTATGTGCTCCAAAAACTACTTAAAGTATAAAAGTATTAAGTAACCTTTAAAAAAAACAGCCAGATGCCACTATATGAATTGAAAGCTCAATTTTTCGACTATTTCTATAAATCCTCTGAGATAGGGCTAAGGATGAGGGAGGTCTTGTTGGTCTCCATCTCCCGATACGCTCTCGCCTGTGTCCGACCTTTCAGACATTTCAACATCTTTTTCTGAATCCCACATTGTAGCATGGGATAGACAATTCACATTAGCAGTTTGAAGAACACCTGCTTGCTTCTGATGATTTCCTTTAGCTAACCAATGAGTGCTTGTGTTATATGACTCATCCAATGACACTAGTTTTCACTAGATGTGGATGGAGCCAATCATCTGCATTGGATGGAGCACATGAAGGGAAATAAATATTTAGAAACATTAAAACAGGGGAAACCAATTAAAAATCAGTGGGACATTTTTAATGATTTGTTACTTTAAACAGAATTTAACACAGAAACAAAATGAGGTATTTATGCATTCATGTTATACATAAAATTTTTAAATAAAAAAAAAAAAAAACAACTTGCCAAAAATTGCATCCCATGCTATCTCAGAGGAGTTGACACTTATATGACTGTATTCCTGTACATTCATCAGTAGTTAAAGGTCAAGGGTCAGCAAATGCAAATTCTACCTGTAAAACAATAACAGCGTAATTGTGGCTGTCTGATCTGAAGCCTCATTTGGAGCTTCTAAACTGGCTTTTGAAAAACTTTGATAATTTGCTGCTAATATTACAGATTTTTTTAGAATAAAAAACTAGCAGATGTGCATCATAAAAAAAAACAGAAATACAATTATAGAGCATTCAGTATTATAAAAAAAAGCCCACACTGTTTCTGACTAAATAGATTTTTGTATTAGTTAAGTTATTTTCCATTTATATATCTTTCCTTGAAAATATGAAATGTCCCATGCTCCTGAATGCACCATAGCTATCTGACGCTCGCGAATGCATCACACTGGTCTGTGAACGCTGTGCTGTGTAGATGCACGTTTGATTTTCCGCTTCAGACAAAGCTTTGCAGTTTCCAAACTCACGGCGGCATCACTGTTTATTGTTGTGTGTGATAAACAAGAGACTACAACAAATAAATCAGCCGTTCCTCGGACAAAACCTTTGGATTTAATGTTGTTCATAACACCCATATATTTTTTAAATGAATCTTCTAAATAACCACAAATGTTTTCCCCACGAGAGGAATATTTAAACGTTTTTATATCATTAATAAAACAACAAGTAGCTAAATTGGTCATAGTCTACTCCGTTTCCCTCGTTGATATGTGGTTGTACAGAGCGAGGCGCGCTCCCGCTACTGGGGATGCATATTCCTGCAGGGATGCACTTTTCTGCATAACACCGGACCGCGGTCCGCTAATCCGTGACCTCTGCATTAAACCGAAGCCAAAAGTAACGAGTAACGGTTGTTTTAAAAATGTAAGGAATAGAAAGTACAGATACTCGTGTGAAAATGTAATAAGTAGAAGTCAGAAGTATGAAGAAAAATAAATAATGGAGTAAAGTATAGATACCTAAAAAGTGTACTTAAGTACAGTAACGAAGTATTTGTACTTCGTTACTTGACACCTCTGAGAACCGCCCATGCCAGAGCCAGATGAACTGAATGTAGGTGGGTTTCCAGAACTCCTCAGCAAAACCTAAATCAGCCAGAAGCAGAAAGAGCCGTACATTCCAGAAGCCTGAGATTGTGAGATATTCGTCATTATGGATTTCCCTTTCAACAGAATATTTTACTGTTTTGATCCAGTTGACATGTTAAAGTTTCACTTATTAAATTGAAGAAAAAATGCATTTTCTCCAATATTCTGAATCCTTCTCTGTGTTTCTCCCACTCCTGAACTCCTGAACACATACGGGTTGAAATATGTGGGTCAGGTGTTCAACGTGTTTTCCATTTCTGGCTTTCATACAGCTGCTCTTTGTTTGAGGACTGCTGTTGTCGACGCAGACTCTCTAGAAAAAGGAGGGAATCACCATAGCAACCAGTGGCCCAGCGTTTTCCTAGGCCATTTCTCAATATGTGTACTTGTGCGTGTCTTTTGTGCGTGTCTTCGAGAAACGTCATCAGCCTCAGCCCTAGTACTGTTCCAATTCACAAGAACAGCAGACCGAGAAAGTCCCCGGATGTTGTTCTCGCCCCTCTCTCTTTACCCAGCATGCATCAGATCAGACTTGTCCGTTCTTGAGACTGACATCTGTCCCAGCATGCATCTCTGCAGCAGCAGCTTTCAATGGAGCGCTCACAGAGCTCAGAGTATGTTAAAAGTTCTGTTTTCTGTTGCCGTTGTTTTATAAAAGTATGTTTTAAGATCAGTTAAGGCGAGAACATTATACTCTTAAGCGTCACTATATTGCCCTATACTGATTTAGTGCGTAATTTAAAAAAAAGTTGGGATGATGAGAGGACCGTGGCAGCCAGTGGACCTCCGAGGCTAACCGCATATAACCATATTTATGCTGCATACTCCCACCCCCCCAAAGTCCGCATTTTCCTGTATTCTTCTCAAGAAATTACTTGGCGAGGACTCGAGTCCGTACTTGCGTTCTTGTGAATTGAGAAACGGCCCTAGTTTCTTTTTTTTTATCACTTAGCAGCTACTTCCTCCTCAGGAGTTTTCAACACTTTCATTGTTTTTCATTGATGCCTGTACCTGCCCTGATGTTGCTTTTGTTTTGTTTTTTTGCAGCTTAGCTCCTGTCTGACCGCTCTGATAAAAACAGACAAGGAGGCCGAGGTGAGGAGAGCCGCTGTCCACGTTGTTGCTCAGCTGCTCCGAGGCCTCAGTGATAAAACCACCCAGGTAACAAACCAGCGATGTAGGAGAAACATTTTACAGCAAACCGCATAACTAAAAGAGATGCATGCAGAATGTTTCCTGCAGATCTTACAGCTTTTGGTGCAATATTACAACTGCAAACTTGTCCACAGTAGAAATGTTTGGTGGGTTCTTATGTTATGCCTTCTTTTCTCTAAAGCTGCTGAATAAAATCTAGTTGAATCGACTGAATCTCGGAACACATTATTCACAGGTCTTTATAAAACACTGCATAGAATCAACTAAAAACTTAGAGTGTGCATACACCCTAACACCCAAAAATCTGTATGAAAAGGATGAAAGAGAGAACATCCAGTTAGCCACAGTAGAAGCTGAAACCGTAGCTATGTCTAGTAGAGAAACGGGCCAAGCTCTGACATCTATAATGTTGATGGCAGCAGCACAGCTGATATTTCTCTCCAGGATGGAGTCACAGCCAAACAGGAACAGACCAGATGAAGCTACTATGATAGAAAATTAGAGAGAGTATGATGTTAAATGTTAAATGTTGAACTGCAGAGTGGGAGAATAGGGATAGAATGAAGCAGAATGATGAAAAAGGGGTCCCTATGTCCTCCAGCAGTCTAAGCCTATAGCAGCAGAACTATATAGATAGCTCTGGATATTCTGACCCACTCCAAATATAAGCTTTATCAAAAAGGAAAGTTTTAGGCCTAGCCTTCAAAGAAGACGGAGTGTGTTCTTTGAAGATCTGCCTCCCATTCTACTTTTAGGAATTCTAGGAACCACGATTGAGAGCAAAGTGCTCTGTTAGGAACATAAGGAACAATCATATCTCTAATGTAAGTGTTGCTTGATTAGTTATATGGTAGGAGAGATATGATCTCTCTTTAATTTTCATAAGAACTCTGGCTGCACCATTTTTGGTTAGCTGAAGACTTTTTTTTTTTATTTTTTATATGCTCTAATAATCCCAGAGGGAAATTACTTCACAACCTCTGGATTCAAAGCCCTATGCCCTAACCACTCCCCGGCTGAAGACTTTTAACTTCTGTTTATGGACTTCCTGATAATAATAGATGCCATCAACACCTGTTTTTCAGTGTAGCCCTGTTTCTCTTCCTGTGACTAACTGTATGTGCTCTTTTTTTAATCCTCTGACATGGGAGCTGGCCCAGAGCCGGGGCCGCCTGTGGAGCTGGTTGACAGTTACCTTTTGTATCTATGCTTCTTTTTCTATGTCTGCTTCTGTTTCCTTGAACCCCAGTCAGCCTCGGCAGATGGCCACTAAAACTGAGCCTGGTTCTGCTGGAGGTTTCTTCCTTTAAAAGGGAGTTTTTCTCTCCACTGTCGCTACAAGCATGCTTAGTGTGTAGGATTGCTGTAGAGTTAATGAGTCGATGCAATCAGCTGGTTTTGCTTGGATAGAAAACTTTGATGTGGTGAAATTGTCTATGTGAAGTGGTGCTATGGAAATAAACTGAATTTAATTGAAATAGAAGAAAATTTGAAAACTTACATACCAAATATAGCACAACTGCTAAAATGGAGAAGGAAGAGGTAATAAAAAAAAAAACTTTCTAGGGTCTTATTCCACTTCTCTTTTTATCATTGGAATAATTTTCTTTGAATTTATAATTTATAAACTATTTTCTGTCCCAAAAAAAATACATAGCTAAAGTTTGGAACAATGATAGAATATAAAAATACCTTTAAAAGGCTCTCCAGAAGAAAAAAAGTCCTTCTTCCCCTTGCAATCTTTGCCAATACATTAAAATACCAAGTTTACCTTTAAAAACTACATTGACTGAACTTTGACTTGCTGACCTAATTTGATGCTTCATGTTTGCAGGTAAAACAGAAGATTTTTGTTCTGTAGAATTATAAAGCAGCTCCTCCACTTGATGGATATTTCCTAAAACCTTGCAGTTTGTAATTTAGCACCTGGTGGTCTCTCAGGTGTGTTTGTGTTGCCTTTGAGTCTCCTGCCCCGGGGTCAGAAACTTAAAAACAGCCTCTACTTGACTCCTGCAGCTCTTCACACAGCTGAAAGGTTTGATGATGGTCAGAGTGAGGGGCCCTTGGGACCCCCTGACACACGTTAAAATAAGTGTTTACTTGGAACTAAGGAAAATCTGTCATAGACGACAGTTAAATGTCTGTAATTGTCTGGCTTTGAGGTTCCTCCATCTAAAGGCACCTTAGCTAAGGCCGAGATGAAGAGAAATCCCTACAAATGGTCAATTTGTCAACATTTCATCTCTAATTTTTATTTAAAAAGCCTTTGCTGAAATTTCGAGTTATTTTAATGCATTTATTTTTAAATGTTCTGATATGTATGAGTCAAGACAATTGTTGGACATCTGTGAAGATGTTAAAAAAAACAACCTACAAAGCTAAAAAGAAAATTCCAAAGTTCCCCCACTCTTAAAGGAAAATTCTGGTCATATTCTAAGTAAGTAAGGAAGGAAGGAAGGAAGGAAGGAGAATTGATTACTGGTGGTAGAAAGGATTTCTGCAGGTGTTCTTTAGTGACAGCATGGAGATGTTCTTCATGGTTATGATGTGACCCATCTTTCCACCTCCTGCAGGTTCTCAGCGATGTTCTCCTGGACCTGTACCGGGCCCTGAAGTGGGTGGCTCATTCAGACCCAGATGAGGTGGCTGTGCTCCAGGCCCAGCTGGCTCTGGAGGAGCTGGACGAGGTGATGAGGAGGTTCATCTTCCCAGAGCAGAAGCTGGAGAAAAAGATTGTCGTCCTGCCATAAAGGTTTGAGGAGTACAACCAGCAAATGGAAGCAGAAATATTCAGCATCAAGAAAGAAGCGACGGCACAAGAGGCTGGTCTCCTTCAGCACGCAGCTCTGGGTCAATTGGTACCAATAAATGATAATAATATTGGAGCTATAAAACAAACCACTTTGAGCTGATTAAACCATGATGTAAAGACTTTGAACCAACGTGGTTTAGCATTTTGAACAGTTGTTGAGATAAATGCTCTTTTAGGTAATAAAATTTGATTGGCTGTTTTTTATGTGTGAATAAAACTTTGCTATGCTCTATATTCCCGTTTATTTTCATTTTTGATTCATTTTTAAACAACCCCTGAATAAACCAACCTGACTCTGTTACCTGCTGTTTGCAAATCTCCCTCATTACAGACTTTTTTAAAAGCTGTTATTTAGTGAGGCGGTACATCCAGGTTTGGTTTTTTGTCATATATGCCATTTTCTGACATTATTCTGGAGCTCTTTCACTATAGAGGAGCTGATAAACATCAGGGACACGACTCCGGTGGGTCCATTACCCACTAGTGTTTGTCAGCAGTGGAAGTATTAGACATCGGACAAGGGCTCACTCACTGCGACTTATACAGTTAGTTCTGCTGGAGGAGGAAAAAAGGACTTGTTGTTCACTCATCTTCACCACTTAGACTATGCACACCACTCATGGTAATATTTCTCTGCAGTTTGTCCTCCCTGTGCAACAAACCAGTCAAACAGCTACTGGTGGGTAGAATCAGATTTTTGATGTTTTGCAGTTGGTAAGCCTTATCTCGTTCACTTCCTGGTTTGACTGCTAGGTTCTGCTGCTGTTCATCTCCGTCTGAACTAAGTTCTTTTTTCTCTGATATCTCTTAAGTTGCTCTAACTGCCCAGAAACAGTTTAAAACACGGCTTCTACTCCTGCAGTTTTCTATTTGGCACTTGTTGCGTTCACGCGGTTTTATTTCTGGTAATGATCGGTAGCTGGCTCAGGTGCTGCTGTCAGCACAGATAATAGGTGGGCTGGTAGAAAAATAAGGACTGGGTATGAACCTGGCATGTCCTCGTGTTTGAGCACTAAGGTTGTGTTGAAAATGTGGAGTAGATTTTTATCACCATGGTATACAGTGGGACAAAAAAGTATTTAGTCAGCCACCAATAGTGCAAGTTCTCCCACTTAAAAAGATGAGAGAGGCCGGTAATTTTCATCATAGATATACCTCAACTATGAGAGACAAAATGAGAAATAAAAATCCAGAAAATCACATTGTCTGATTTAAAAAAAATTAATTTGCAAAATATGGTGGAAAATAAGTATTTGGTCAGTTACAAACAAGCAAGATTTCTGGCTGTCACAGACCTGTAACTTCTTCTGTAAGAGGCTCCTCTGTCCTCCACTCGTTACCTTCATTAATGGCACCTGTTTGAACCCGTTATCAGTATAAAAGACACCTGTCCACAACCTCAAACAGTCACACTCTAAACTCCACCATGGCCAAAACTAGAGAGCTGTCAAAGGACACCAGAAACAAAATTATAGACCTGCACCAGGCTGGGAAGTCTGAATCTGCAATAGGTAAACAGCTTGGTGTGAAGAAATCAACTGTGGGATCAATTATTAGAAAATGGAAAACATACAAGACCACTGATAATCTTCCTCGATCTGGGGCTCCACGCAAGATCTCACCCCGTGGGGTCAAAATGATCACAAGAACGGTGAGTAAAAATCCCAGAACCACACGGGGGGACCTAGTGAATGACCTGCAGAGAGCTGGGACCAAAGTAACAAAGGCTACCATCAGTAACACACTACGCCGCCAGGGACTCAAATCCTGCAGTGCCAAACGTGTCTCCCTGCTTAAGCCAGTACATGTCAAGGCCCGTCTCAAGTTTGCTAGAGAGCATTTGGATGATCCAGACGATGACTGGGAGAATATCATATGGTCAGATGAAACCAAAATAGAACTTTTTGGTAAAAACTCTACTCGTCGTGTTTGGAGGAGAGAGAATGCTGAGTTGCATCCAAAGAACACCATACCTACAGTGAAGCATGGGGGTGGAAACATCATGCTTTGGGGCTGTTTTTCTGCTAAGGGACCAGGACGACTGATCCGTGTGAAGGAAAGAATGAATGGGGCCATGTATTGTCAAATTTTGAGTGAAAACCTCCTTCCATCAGCAAGGGCATTGAAGATGAAACGTGGCTGGGTCTTTCAGCATGACAATGATCCCAAACACACCGCCCGGGTAACGAAGGAGTGGCCTCATAAGAAGCATTTCAAGGTCCTGGAGTGGCCTAGCCAGTCTCCAGATCTCAACCCCATAGAAAATCTTTGGAGGGAGTTGAAAGTCCGTGTTGCCCAGCGACAGCCCCAGAACATCACTGCTCTAGAGGAGATCTGCATGGAGGAATGGGCCAAAATACCAGCAACAGTGTATGAAAACCTTGTGAAGACTTACAGAAAACGTTTGATCTCTGTCATTGGCAACAAAGGGTATATAACAAAGTATTGAGATGAACTTTTGTTATTGACCTAATACTTATTTTCCACCATATATTGCAAATAAATTCTTTAAAAATCAGACAATGTTATTTTCTGGATTTTTTTTTTCTCATTTTGTCTCTCACAGTTGAGGTATATCTATGATGAAAATTACCGGCCTCTCTCATCTTTTTAAGTGTGAGAACTTGCACTATTGTTGGCTGACTAAATACTTTTTTGCCCCACTGTATTTATATATACACTCACCGGCCACTTTATTAGGTACACCTGTCCAACTGCTCGTTAACACTTAATTTCTAAGCAGCCAATCACATGGCGGCAACTCAATGCATTTAGGCATGTAGACATGGTCAAGACAATCTCCTGCAGTTCAAACCGAGCATCAGTATGGGGAAGAAAGGTGATTTGAGTGACTCTGAACATGGCATGATTGTTGGTGCCAGAAGGGCTGGTCTGAGTATTTCAGAAACTGCTGATCTACTGGGATTTTCACGCACAACCATCTCTAGGGTTTACAGAGAACGGTCCGAAAAAGAAAAAACATCCAGTGAGCGGCAGTTCTGTGGGCGGAAATGCCTTGTTGATGCCAGAGGTCAGAGGAGGCCAGACTGGTTCGAGCTGATAGAAGGACAACAGTGACTCAAATAACCACCCGTTACAACCAAGGTGGGCAGAAGAGCATCTCTGAACGCACAATACGTCGAACTTTGAGGCAGATGGGCTACAGCAGCAGAAGACCACACCGGGTGCCACTCCTTTCAGCTAAGAACAGGAAACTGAGGCTACAATTTGCACAAGCTCATCGAAATTGGACAATAGAAGATTGGGAAAACGTTGCCTGGTCTGATGAGTCTCGATTTCTGCTGCGACATTCGGATGGTAGGGTCAGAATTTGGCGTCTACAACATGAAAGCATGGACCCATCCTGCCTTGTATCAACGGTTCAGGCTGGTGGTGGTGGTGTCTTGGTGTGGGGAATATTTTCTTGGCACTCTTTGGGCCCCTTGGTACCAATTGAGCATCGTTGCAACGCCACAGCCTACCTGAGTATTGTTGCTGATCATGTCCATCCCTTTATGACCACAATGTACCCAACTTCTGATGGCTACTTTCAGCAGGATAATGCGCCATGTCATAAAGCTGGAATCATCTCAGACTGGTTTCTTGAACATGACAATGAGTTCACTGTACTCAAATGGCCTCCACAGTCACCAGATCTCAATCCAATAGAGCATCTTTGGGATGTGGTGGAACGGGAGATTCGCATCATGGATGTGCAGCCGACAAATCTGCGGCAACTGTGTGATGCCATCATGTCGATATGGACCAAACTCCCTGAGGAATGCTTCCAGCACCATGTTGAATCTATGCCACGAAGAATTGAGGCAGTTCTGAAGGCAAAAGGGGACTAACCCGTTACTAGCATGGGGTACCTAATAAAGTGGCCGGTGAGTGTATATATATATATATATATCTATATATATAGATATATATATATATAGATATATATATATATCTATATATATATATATATATATATAATGGGGTTGACTTTTACTCATTTTTTAGCAAAAAATTGGAGATACGGAGCGTGAGCCTGTGAAGACACTGAGATGCGTGAGTCTCACGCCCAATGGCTGAGAGTTGATAGCCCTGAATTTTCCACACATACCCTGTTTTTAAAAGTTCCTATAAATTACCACAATAAACTATTTCTTCGTGCCATAATTTCTGTCTTTCTGGTAGTGTGAGCGCTCCTGAAAAAGTTCATCATCGTAGCTGGATGGCATCCCAGGGTCTCAAAAATAGCTGTTAGTGGGATACTCAAATTTCTTCACCCAGAGAGATTGAATTCTTCCCAGAATGATCTAAATGAAATACCGCTGTTTATCGTCTGTTTTAGTTGCTTTAGATCCAGGTGTTGTTTTTCCAACATATTTTAACCTACTTCGTGTTTTCTGACAGGTTATATTTAAAGTGTGGCTGGGTAATAAAATGGGTAAATTAGAAAATTTAAACTGGAAGGTTCTTACTCGGCACCAGTCCCCTCATCATTCTCTGCTCCAGCCTATCAGAGCTGCTCCACGCCTTCATATCAGCCAATTATCATTCTGGACTCAGCTTTTTTAGGGCTTCAGGCTCATTCTCCAGGCTCCTCTTGGGGGGAAAGATGTTCAGGGCCTGGATCTACCTGCTTATGCAGAGCAACTCGTCGCAGGAAGGACATCTTCTCCCAGGCTCTGAGCACCTAACACTTGGTCATTTCTCCATATCAAAAAAACTTTCCAACTGCTTTTTTCTCTCCAGGTTAAAATCATATGACCCATTTACACTAGCCCTCTGAACCCGATCTGTGCGGAGTTAGGACCAAGCTTTCACATCAGGCTAGCACAGTTCCTCGCCTCCTATTGGGGGTCCATGATATTACAGCACTCAAGGTGGGAATTACACAAACAAAAACATTCAGGAACTTATGTTTGTTTAAATTTGTGGCATTTCATTGCTTGCGTAACGTCAGGCAAAGAAGGCATCCTTCCCTCTGCATCATCCCAGGTCGCACCGCGCTCTTTTGATGCCATTTATGTTTAATAAGCTGAGAAGAAGTTCATGTTGTGAACAGGTGACGAGATCTGTGAATTGCAAAGCTGGAAAACCCGCAAAATGAGTCAGCTGACTGTAAATAGGAGATGAAGCGGTCTGCTTATGCGCTCTTTGGTTTTAGAGAATCGAGCCACAGATGAACCACGCTGAGACCTACTGTTGAACTAGTAGTAGTGTAGCACGGTTTGGCACGGTCCAGTTCGGTTGTGTTCCATTTACACTCAACAGTTATCTCGGTTACTGTCCTCGGACCGTTCTCGG